TAAGTATCAAGATAAATAAACCTTTTGTTTGTGCAACTATAATGAAAGGTTGAGGACTAGTTTTCCTCTTTTCAAAGGTAGCGACAGATTTTCTACTCGAATAATAAGTTGAGGTAGACCAAAGCAGATTTTTCTTATAGCAGATAATAGAGGTGAAGTTGACAAATATGTATACCAAAAGCTTGAGGATTTGAGATGAAATCCATGTGCATTTGATTGGTGTTGGCTGCAATGAAGGCAATGCGGCCTATTTCGGCGTTGAGTTGATCAATCATCTGAACCAATTGTGGGTTGAAAAGAGATGCAGCAAGTTGCAATTCCTCTGCACATTCCCCATTCGTACTGTAATATGCCAATTCTGCTGGCACACATCCTAATGGCCCTGTGCCTGTCACTAAAACCCTTCGAGCTCCAAGTCTATACAGTCTCTGCACGCATTCGATATGTGTAACAACTACAACCCTCAAGAAGTATGCACATTAAACTCAAGAGAGTGTGTGTTTGTGAGAGAGAGGGGAGACACAACAACTACAACAAACTAAGTATTGTTCCAGCACATTTGGCGCCGACTACGTAAATTCATTTTTTTTTAGTTCATTGTAGTCATGACAATTTGCGAACACATAGAACCTACCAAAGAGAGACAAGGGTTAGTTGGGATTTGGCATGAAAACCGAGGATAGGAGGTGTGTGGACCGAGGAGGGTTTTTCGGCTTGCAGGGCTTTATCATTTTTATTAAATTTTATGGTTATTTATTATGTCTACACAGAATAGGTCCCAACTACCTAAGATGTCCTCCTCTTAACTTAATTCTAGTCTACGCCACTTCTACATGTTAACATATAGTCATTTCTTATATTATTATGTTTACTCTATGACATGCACGCACACATGTGGAGAGAGAGAGAGAGAGAGAGAGAGAGAGAGAGCATACCTTTAAAACTTTCTTGTATTCAGTGATGAGAAAAGGGACATATTCTTGAAGGGTGAATTGTTGAGATCTTGCAGAATTGGGGACTAAGTAATAATTATTGACAAAATCATTTCCTCCCAATGTAATAAGAACAAGTGCTCGTTTCACAAGTTTCTTCCTCTCTTCGTATCCAATAAGTTCACTCACTCTCTGCTGGTATTCTTTGAAATTATCCAGCTGATTCGGAATCCGAATTATGTTTACCTGCAAGGATTAATTATATTTATTTTCTCGTCCAAGGTCTAGCAGATAAATTTTTTATAAACATATAATGACGAGATTTGAACTGAAAATCTTTCGCAAGTTATGATACAATGTCAAATCACGACTCTTGATATAATATATACATATTTAAAGCTCATGTAACTAAATACTTTTACATTTCAAGAACTTGAAAAATTTCCCTTTTGTCAAATTTTTTTTTCAAGAAACATATTGAAACTTAATTAATTTTATACAGACGTTAAGAAAGGTCCAAAATTGACATGTTGGTAAATTGTAACAAAAACGACTCAATAAGATTAAGGGGCTGTTTGTTTCAAATTGTTTTAACATAAAATTCAATTTTTTTCCCCTTTTTTTCAAAACATTGGGGCCTACTATAAGAGAAAGAGGTCAGAGATTGCGGCTACATTACTGTAGCAACAATAGGAATTCTGCTTAAAAGTG